TATAAAGAAAGTTGACAACTCACGATCGCGCATTATTACCGCCAAGTGGCCTTTGTAGTTGCGCGGACCACGAACGTGACATTTTGATGCGATTATGTCAGCTATTGTGTTTGCCTGTGCTTACTGTTGTTGTTAATGATATTGCTCTTAATAGTGCTGTTAACCCGCTAGGTTTCGAATGTCATTCTCACATAAGCTCGTATAAAGAAACGCTTGCACATGCATACAGGGTCATTACACTGTTCTTCAAGTAATAAAATACTACGAGTACACCCTATTATCCAGATCAGTAATTTCTGTAACCCAAAAACATACAATATTCATGGTGTTGTGCCTAAAGCGTATTGCTTTTCTGTAATGCACTTGCAATAAAAGAAAAACAACTCAGATTAAATTCAGTTCCAAATTTGTTTATTCTTTAGTTTCGAGTTGGGTTCTTTTTACTGTGTTCTTATGTTTATACAAATGTTTAGTGAAATACTTTTAACTTTCCTTTGGTTGAGTCGACTTGTCAACTTGTCAGATTCGTCAATGTCAGCGCTAGCTTCAAAGAGTTTCAGTGTTACTGTTGCCTCTTTAGTATGTCTATGTTGACATTTCATGGTTACTGCTTCACTCGGTCAAATTTGTTCGCCACTTAGGAGTTTCAAGTGACACCCACAAAGGTGTTAAGAAGACCAAAATTTCGGACTTATCAACACACAAAAAATGGTTTTGATCTCGGACAAACATTTAACATTTTCGGGTGCATTACAATCACTTGATACCCGTATGTTTGTATTATATAACCACGTACACAGACATACATATATAAATGTGTGTACACAAGTGCTGACATTACTCACAACGAATATCATAGTTTATTTGCTTCAAATTACTTTGGTATGCATTTGATAACGCCTCTCATAGACAAGGTAAAGTCTCGGTTTGTTTCTCTCTCATATCGTTTTACTATCTTTAAAAACTAATCAAATAAATAAATATTGCTGTATTTTACCCATAAGATATTTGTAATTATAATTAKGTATATAAATGACTTGAGTTGAGACGAGACGAATTGAATTCCGGGTGACTGTCTGTCCGTCCATCCGCGCAAATGATAACTGTAAGTTTCTTGTTGAAACTTAATGCAATGAATTAGAGTTCTTCTTCCTCTTTATTGGTGTAGTCGCATCRTTCATWTCTCTTTTCGCAATTTGGCGCCAATTCGAGATACCAAGTGTAGTCAGGTCCTTTTCCACCTGATTTCTCCAACGGAGTGGTGGTCTTCCTCTTCTTCTGCTTCCTACAATGTCATCGTATATCTCGTTCGTTCGTATATATCGYCCATCGAATGCGATATTCGTCGTCGTCAATGCGCAAASGACCATAAATCTTCCGCAGAACCTTTCTCTCGAAAACCAGTGACGAAAGTTCTCTGAGCGTCATTCACTTGGAAACGATTTTTTTACATATGTCTGAAGCAGCAGACAACTTCCGGTCTTAAATCAAGAATCCTCAGTCTAGCCTAAGAACATCCTTTTGAAAGAGAGCTAAAGTTATAAGGCGAACCGTCCCTCCCCAGGATTGTGCGCTGGTTATAGGGAAAATGTACTCTATTTTCAAATCGATACAAACTTAAATTCTTATTACCATTTGATTGGTCAAATATTAAAACATGTCAAACAAATTTAGACAATTCGGAAGTCGAAAATATCAAATAACCTTGGAAATTCTGAAAAGAATGGAGTAAGAACGTTTACGTAACCCGGCAATTGAAATTGAATATTTCGTACATAGCAACAACTTRACGTGACCTTGCATTGCCAAAGAACGGGCAATCAATCCAAAAAAATATTTTTGCGTTCACTGCATTTCGTGGAATCACACACACCTTGCTGTCTTGCTGTCTAGGGTGTTGTACGTGTATGTGGAAAATGAATGCCACACCTATTACTTCACGACAAGAACGCGGGTAGGAGGAAAATCGCGTATTAGCRTGATTAAATGTGGATATTGCTATTATTATACATATATCCTATATCGTAATATGGAATGAGTAATATTCTTTTCGCACCATTAGAATTTAACTAGATCAGCCAAGCCGAAGTACTTYATACTCCATTATTGAAATATTCTAAAATGAAATAAAATTGGACGTTGGCTAGAAAAAGTGAAAATGTTCATTTTTCGAAAAATTGGCAACAAAACATAGGCGTGATGACAGTGCCTTGACTGACTTGCTGTATTGCGTGCGAGCGGCTATATGGCGTTCCAAATACCAAAACGAATGAACATGACGCATCGGCTCGGCTATTTCGGTCCATATTATTTCCTGTTCTTGTTCTTTATTGTAATCGTCGCTTCAGTGTACATATCTATGTATGTATATATAATATATGTTTTTATTGTTTTTATTTCTACGCAAATTATTTTTTGTATGTACCAACGACACACATCCAAAATACGCATCTCTATGCGAGTACACTAGGGTAGTCGTTATTTCGTTAATTGATTGCTTTTTTGCAAACGCCTGCTGAAGTTTCATTGATGGGGGATCCACAGGATCCAACTTAAACAAGCTTATTATTTTCACTTTTAACCGTATCTAAATCATTTYACTTTCCATATTTAAGGGGTTACATGGGTTTCCTTGGTTCCAAAACAATTTTTTTCTCATATAAAAAATGAAATATTTTTCTGGAATTTTTTATTTTTGCAAACATACATTATTAATAAAGATATTTTGAAACTTTTGGAAACAAATATTTGAAACACGCCGATTGCGACGCCATTTCCGGCGACGCCTCGGAAAAAAGATGCGCCGGCGTTGGCAGGATAACTCGAATCATCTAAACTGAACTAAAAATACGTGTTTAATTAAAACCTTAACTTAGAACTTGGACAAAGAAAAAAACCGGAAAATTGTATTTTTGGTAAACATTAAAAAAAGAATGAAAATTGCAGTGAAAATGAGAATCGGTTGAGTACTTCTTGACAAATCTTGCCAACCGACTTCAAAAACACAGTTTCGAGAAAAACGAGTTTAAAGACGGCGCACTTAGCCTAGCTAGCCTCGAGCGCAGTCAACGAAGGCTCTATCTCCGAAACTATTACTGGGATCAACTTGAAAATTTAGGACAATATACTGAGGATGTTGTAGACCATAAAAAATCGATKTTTTTAATCCACTAAATCCATGTAACCCCTTAGATACAATTAGAGGAGGTCTGGAATTTCTTGATATTATGCATTCATTTTTTTCTCAAAAGCAAAAAATTCCACAATTTCGAAAAAATTATATTCTAATACAAAATTTTCCGCTTCACAGGGAGTGTTTTTAAAATATTTTCTTAAAATAAGTTATAAATAAAATGTACTGAGCATTCGTAAAATTATTCTCTTAATTTTGTGTGGCTCATCCATGTGGTAGGATTTTATTGAGTCTCAAAATAAAAATGAAATCAACTTGAAAAAAATGGGGACACCTTAATGTATGCAGATTTTTAATGACTTGTGCTCTTCAGTAGAATAAAATTTTGGGAAATGTGATTGGGAGTGTTCGCAGATGCCAGATGATGTGAATTGATTTGCTGAAAATAGCACCTCAAAACTATATTATAACCTCAATGCTTAATAAATAATGGCTAGAACCCAACTTGGTAAAATACTAACCCTAAATACTGCATACTAACTAGACCAATATAATTAAAACATGCTTTTATTTTGGCCACAATTTTAGTGCCTATGGCAAAAAAAAACAACTTTGATTTGTGTAACATGTGCCAAAGGTATAAAAGGCAGAGGGCAAATTTAATGAGCACGTGGTTGAAACCATTAACTGTTGAAAGAATCTTTGAAGGTTTTGCTTAAATTTCGGTCATCTTCCGAATAATTTTGAATCAATTGTGTTTATTTCTTTATCCAATCCATTAATTTCGATCTTCGTGTGTGTGTGTTTGCCAAATATCAGTTTGTTCAATCTTTTATTTCCGACATTTGACAATACATTATCTGTATGCTTATAATCACAATGTATTATGTATATATTTAAGATATGTGATTGAATGTTATGTTTGTATACACAAATGACGGGGCTAAATGCGCGATCATGGAGTTGAAGAGGTCAAAAAGTGATTACATAATGTTATTGTTAGGAAACCGAAATGAGCAAAGGTGTGCAACGAAAGCTGTAGGAAGGTGGGCGTTTAGYTGTTGCAACCATCAGATTAGATTAGTTGATTAATGTGCAAGCAACAGTTGTTGAAGAAAACTTACGCACATCCACGGAAATACAAGACACTCACTTGGATACTTATGTATGTACGAGTACATATATACAATAAATGATTGCACTGAAAAGCAGTTGCAGACGCCAATGCCCCAAAACATTCATGTTAGGGAATTGATGTACATACGTACCTACGTATGGTCGAAGTAAGGGGGTTTCCAATAAGAGCGTGCAAAAAAATAAATAAATAAATAAAACAAAAACCGTTTGGGATATCAATGAAATTCTTTACTCCTGTGAAAGTGCATTCGATGACAATATGTATAGAACTCGATTTCTTTTGTTTGGCCACCACGGGCACACTTGCAGAAGTTCTGGACTGAACGCTGAACCCAWTTTTCGACGGTTTTCAAGCATAAATCGGGTCGATATTGCTGCAATTTCACGTTCGATAATTGTAAGAAATTCACCAGACGTCGCTGGTTTGTTAACATCGACCAAAGACTTAACGTAGCCTCACAGGAAATAGTCTAACGGCGTCAAGTCGCACGACCAAGGCGGCGAATTGACTATGCCATTTCGTGAGATCGTACGTTCACCAAATTTATTTTTCAATAAATCGATTGTGACTTTGGCTGAGTGGCTTTTGGCGCCGTCCTGTTGGAACCACATATTGTCCAAGTCCATATCATCCAATTCTGGCCAAAAGTATTCTGTTATCATTGAGCGGTAGCGATTCCCATTCAYAGTAACGTGCCAGTCTTGATCATCACCGAAGAAGTACGGCCCAATGGCGCCGCCGGCTCATAAACCGCAACAAACCGTAATTTTTCATGCCAGAAATGAGCCTTATYGCTGAAGATAACTTTTCTTTGAAAATCCGAATCATTTTCAAGTTGTTGCTCAGCCCAACTTGCGACCATACGAGGATTCTGGTGGTCAAGCGGCTTTAGTTCTTGCGTTAATTAGATCTTGTTAGGATGTAAGCCAAAATCTTTTCACAAAATTCGCCAGAACGACTTCACAACACTTGAGAAGGACGTGTGAAAGACTGATTTGGGTCTTCCTCAATTGACGCTCCAGCGGCAGCAATATTCTCGACACTTCGGGCACCTCTTTGTCTCAYTGATACGGGAATATTTTGGACTGTGCCTTGGATTAAATTTTTTTCACTAGACGCTCAGTTGTTGATCTGCAGGAMGATTAYGACGACCATAAATTGGACGTAGCGCTCTTAAAGTTGAGGCCACTGACTCCGAATTTCGGTGGTAAATTTTAATAATTTTGACTCGTTGTTGGATCGKATATCTTTCCTATCTGAAGTGGCAAACMTTAYTGAAGAGAAATGTGAAAAGAACGGGGTAAATATGGCGTCGTTTGCCTTCCCTATCGGTCTACTTGTTGTAGCGTCCATAAAAAGCCCTGTATAATTGGATTTAGTATTTTTCCTTTATACACAAGCATAAATGTCATTCATAGCAGTATTGGTATTTAGTTGATTAGACAATTGCAAGTGATGTGTCTTAGATTTTTAAAATAGTTGGCCACATTTTTCTAAATTCTAAATAGTAATAGCATTATTATCATATTAATTTGAAACAACCTGCATTTAATTTTAGGTGTTATACCATGAAATCGTATCACATGCACGAGTGGTAAGCGCCTGCATTCGCTCGGCAACAGAGGAACATCAAGGGCAGGTGCTACTGCAACAACAGCAAGAAGAGGAACARCAGCTGCAATCSATCGATAGCGGCAGCACAACAATCGCAGACCAAACAAATTCATCACTCACATCCAACGAAGAGACAACTTTGCCAATAGCAACAGCCACTGAGCAGAGCAAAGACGAATTGAGCGGAGCGAGGAGTAGTAGCGGTATTGAAACTATCAAAAAGTCCTCGTGCTCGCCTGAGCCGTCGTTCATCCGATCGAATACGGCATCACCGGAAAGAGCAACAGACACTGAGATCACTGAAGATAGTTTGGAGCGTTTGCAGAACCGTTATCATTTATTATATTTGAAGGCGTTTGAGGTACAGCTTTGGTTGGACGGATTGTTGCGCAAGAAAAGTTCGAATACGGTAAGTTTGTTAAATAYTAAGTTTACGTATGTTGCACGGCTGTCAGTAAGTTACTAAGCACAAGCTATCAGGTTAAATAAAACTGATTTCGAAATTATGACGACTGAATGGAATTACCAAGTTCACATATAGTTTCAACACATAAACATTTTCCAGGAATAATTTAGTTGAAATTGCATTCATTCTTGTGTTTGTTAAGCTCAGTGCACACGAAATACTGTGCCCCAATCGTCTCTCCACACAAGTGTAATATAAATATGTAGTCTTATGTAAATTCGTCAAAGTCAATCATTTTTTAGTAAAAGCTAAAATGCTTTGTGGCTTATATATTTGTATAGTATATGTATGTATGTATCCAGTGCTCCACTTTGTCGATTACAGCTGTCGGTGCCTTAACTAACAGGTTTGCAGCGCACGCCACAACGAGCAAGCGCTTTTGGGATAGGTGTTATTTTCACTATCTCTCTGTGCTAAATGTAGAAATGGTTTTAGAATCGACGCTTCACATTTCATTCGCCATTTGACGGCCGTCGTTCTACTTAAATGGCCAGATGCTTGGCTAAATTCATATATATATGTATATATATACATACATGGTATGCATATAGATATATGTGTGGTATCAATCAAACCACATCACATTGAATTCACAACTTTCAAACCACAGGCATTTTAGCTTGACCGAAACTTTCACAGTTTTATATGGCTTTACACTTTGCTGCTTCAAGAGTAAAAGTTAGTTAACGCTACCTGAGCCCGCTATGTATCCGTGTGTATAGCTGAAATATTTTCTTCAAACCGCTAAATGTCAGTCTTAGGGAAGACTCCACTCAGATTAAATGTCATTTACATGTTAAATCAAATCGATCACCAATAGCGAACGCTGAGCAATGACCTTAACCGCTATTTGGCCGGTGCTCAATCTAGTGCATTTGGAGGCTCAGACGGCTGCGACTGCTACCGTTCATCAAGTTAAAGTYAAAGTAAAAGTTCAAACGCTAACAGTGCTACGTGTTAGGTGTCGASCTCTAGATTGGCGCTTGTCGGTTGTTGGTGGCGTTAATTGAGCCCTGTCAAATTGGCAACTCGTGGCATCGATGGTCTCGCTCGTCACCGTATCCATTGAGTGTTGAACATGAATTGAACGTATGGAACGAGATCGTCACGGCCTTAAATCTCGACTTATATGACAAGAGCAGATAATTATAGGCGAAACAAGCTATGCAACTGTAAAACAAAGATAGTGCAAAAAATCGCATTAAAATAACAGGTTGTTCATTAAGTTTTGTCGTTTTATAAGAAAAACACAATTTTATGATTCAAAATAMACTTTATTATTCAGTATAATCTCCCTGAACATTAATACACTTGCTCCAACGATTCTCCAATCTGTGGATCCCATCCCTGAAGTGAGAATCCGGAAAGTCTGCAAAATACGCTTCAACAGCCTTATGACTTCTTCATTTGATGGAAAACTCTTGCTAAGCATACATTTTTTGAGTTCTGGAAACAAAAGGAAGTCTAGAATACGGTGGATGCACCAACAAATCGAACTTAAGCTCATGGATTTTAGCCACTGTCAAATTGCTCTTGCGACACGGTGCATTGTCTTGATGAAAATTCCTCTCGCTTCCTTAAAAACTGATGTCATAACCTTCTTGGCCGATTACCGGACACGAACTTGTTCATACCACTCTTTAGCCTCTTGTTTTGATTCAGGATCGTGGTGATAGACCTAAGTTCATTCATAGTRAAGAATCGACGCACAATTTCACTTAAAATATGGCTCACACTGCCTAATAAGATGTGTAGAGCCTCTACTWAATCTATCTCASTCAATCGACGAGCTTCCAAAACCATATGCTGTATTTTGGCTATGATTTCTGCTGTTGATGCGACCACGTTTAAATTCAGCATKCCATCTATCTACTGTTCTAATTGTAGGTGAACAATCTTTRTACACTTTTTACATTCGTTCGTGAACTCTGAACTATTTTCCAGAATACTTAGGTCTTTCTTTAAATATCGTATCATCTGTCTGTCTTCTAATATTGATTTTTTTACATTTTCACCCACGATTCTTCGCATTACCTTTATATTTCATAGCATTATATATCATTGTGGAGCTTTATCACTATATTGATCCGGCCCTTTTGTAAGTTCTATCTTGTTTCCTTAGCTTCACCAATCAAKTCATGCTTCTCGAAAATGTAGATCACTAGGGTTTCGAAAAGCTTTCGTCAAAAAATTATTAAAATGATTAAATTCCTTAATTACACTGACTTATCGCAATTATCCAATTCCTTTTTTAATTTATCGACCCTTAACGACAAGCTCTACCATACTAGTGAAAAGCTCGTCATAGAAAATACAATCGAAGAAAAAGTAATTGGATTTCTTGGTTTTAATAATTTTAAGTGTGTATTCTTCCAAAATAAACACGCTTGTTGAATTAGCAAGTCCTTGCATACTAAGAAAGCTCTCTAAATATAAGACTCTTTTGCAATACTATTTTCATGAACACAACTATATGTACATATGTATGTATCATTAGTACAATTATCATGTGAAATCCCAATGTTTTAGGTCGAAATATTCAWATTATAAGTTTTCAAGGTGAATGTAATTAAATAGCTGATCTTACGAAACTTCCAAAATTCAAACTTCTCATTTTCTGGGTGATGAGCACGAGAAAATAGTGTGCATGGCCATTGGTTTGCCTTGAATATTGAAAAAAGCATCTCACAAGTATATAATTATATATAGTATATATATGAAGTAAGTTTGTCCATCATTTCTGTTAGCTGGCCATTAATTTTCGTGTAAAGGCATGCGTGAATAATTGTATAGTATGAGAGCTGTTTTGTAAGTGTTGAGAGGTGGCATCCCTAATGCGATCTGAATACAGTTATATTGTTTTAGAGCCAGAAATAAGTTGATTTGTCATAATACAAATATTTCAACTAACCTCGAAGCCTCTGTATTGTTCATTTCTACTATTACACTTAGTTAATAAAACTAACTGAATGCTGAAGATCTCGCCACATAGAARTGTATCAGTGGATATACTACTGTAGAAGTATGCCCCTATTCTGGTTTATGCGCTTTGTTGTAACCAATTCATAAGCATTTGGACCGCCCAATAAACAAAATTTCACTTATTACAAAGCAATAAAATAATTAAAGTACAAAAGTGTTTATATATCTTGCRTACAAATGTACCTAATATGGATCAAGGTAAAATTTTGCCTGCTCCATTACTTTTAAAAAACATGAAAAGGAAATACAAATACATACCCGTACCATACTCTAGGTATATGTTCCTTAATATATAATGGAAGTACCAAAGAGTAAACTAAACATTAGCGTAGTTGTCTAAACTATCAATTTTTTGTTTCAAATTATTGACGAATTTTTCGTACTTTCCAGAGCATCGTTAACGCCGCCGATTATATTGATGACAACGATAATGTAAATTGCCATTCATCCGCCTGTGAAGAAGACGAGACAGCTGCAACAGAGGACGACCTAAATATACTCGGTTCGGGAATCGAAAGCGATCTCACACATAACTCTTCCTCGTTTGGGGAGCTGCGGGATTGYATTGATTTGGTTGAAGAGGGAAATCACGGCGCCGAAAAGGTAAATTACCCCACTACTTAGACAMCAAATGCGATTTTCGCGGGTTTTTTCTATGTGTCAAAAATTTGTTTGGCTGCCGCTTGTTCTTAGCAGCATTTGCATGGATTGTTTTCAGCTTTGCTAAATGTTTCCATAAATTAGGTGTCTATAAGAAACTAGTGTACGCATATCGCATGTTACATATAATAAAAATCTAGACATTAATTTTGACCGAATAAGAGCACGCCGTTAAGTTCTAGCAACGGTCATACCATTACAAATTTTGCTCAAAAGTTAAAACCTATGAGATTTTATCATTTCACAATCAAATATTGACATATGACAACTTTAAAATTGAAACATTGTTAACGGTAAATAATAATATATTATATCTGAAGAAGTTGTTGTATTATGCGTTAATCGTATAAGCTAAAATTTTAAATTTTTGACCTTTGATGGTACATCCGCCACCCAGCTGGCTCCAAAACAAATTTCTTGAAAAAACTYTTTCTGCTTATTTCATTTACCTCAAACGTAAAATTAACATTACCAAACAGGGTGACTGCGAMGACGGTGACGACGAAGGMGAAGAMGAGGACGACGACGAAGTTTCGTTTGGCCGTTCCCGCTTTGGCAAGCCGCCACGGGGCTATAGTACAGTATTGGTTACATTCGAGAAACGTGGCAGCCTTGGTGGTCCAACACGACCAACAACGCTCACTGATTTCGAGGCTGACTCTGAGAGCAGCGACTGGGAGACAACCGCGCAACAGGTGGTCACTCAGAAGTCAGACCCAAGCCATCTGCAGTTATTCAACGAAGAAATTGCAAACAATTCAAATCAAATCGTCACACCGCTAATCGATGACGCAGGCAGCAAGGTCACTCAATTACCATTTGATATTCACACCTCGTCCAGTGCAACATWCGACACTTACCTGCAGCAAGATGACATCGACGGTTTGATTGCAAATAAACAGCATGAAAGCGCGTCAGTCCGCGCATCACCAATTTCRATGAAAACGAAAACGAATATGCTTAACGMAGATTATGAAAATCGCAARCTAGTCTCAATGAGCGCGTCAACAGTGGCCGCCACAACCACCGCCAACACTGCCAATGAAACTAATGCCAACTCCGCGGGCACACAGCCTCCGCAGAAACTTCAAACACTACACAATAACACACCGATCGGTCTGCCGATCAAACAAAAGAGCATCGCAATCATATCGCCGAATAGTCACAACAATAAATCGCCGACCGTCTTGCGCAAGCGACATTCACAGCATCACACCGACATCTCAAAGTTTAATCGATCAAATCGKAAATCGAAAAATTGTGCCGTTTTCTACTTCAAACATCTGGATACGGACAACGAAACAAACTGCAGCAGCGTGGGTGACGCCGCTGATTTTAACACCACAGCAGATGGTCTATCCTCGTCTAATTCACAAACAAGCGAAGTAAGTACCACTAAAAATGAGTGGTGTTGGTTATGGTAATGCATATATGGTGGCATATATGATGGTATTAAAAATAGGTTAATGTCCAGCTTAGCCAACGTGGGTCTGAATCACTACACACAAATTTATAAGATTTCACGTTTATACGTTTCTGGTAAACTCCTCTTCTTCTTTTGCTGGAGATTTTCTTAATTGGAGATTCCTTGCGAAGCCAGGTCCTTCTCCATCTGGTCTTTCCAACGGAGTGGAGGCCTTCCTTTTTCTCTGCTCCCCCGTCTGGTACTGAGTCGAAAACTTTCAGACCTGGAGTGTTTTCATCCAATCGGACAACATTTCATGCAAATTGAAGATTCCTTGCGAAGCCAGATCCTTCTGCATCTGATCTTTTCAACGGAGTGGAAGTTTTCCTCTTCCTCTGCATCCTCCGGCAGATACTGCACCGATTACTCTCAGAACAGCAGTGTTTTTATCCATTTGGTTGATGTGACCTAGCCGATTTCGTTTAATTCGCTGAACTATGTCAATTACGTGGTATATCTCGCACAGCTCATTGTTCCATCGCCTGCGGTATTCGACGTAGCCAATGCCCAAAGAACCATAAATCTTCCGCAGAACCTTTTTCTCGAAATCTCGTAACGTGGACTCATCAGATGATCCATGACTCTGAACCATATAGCAGGACGTGAATAATGAATAACTTATAGAGTTTGGCTTTTGTGAGTCGAGGGAGAACTTTACTTCTCAATTGCCTACTTAGTCCGGAGTAGCATCTGTTGGCAAAAGTTATTTTGCCTTGGATTTTCAAGCTGACATTGTTGTCGCTGTTAATAGCGGTTCCAAGACTTACGATCTGGTACACTCAGTCAATAATAAAAGTTCAATACATATTCTCAGTTAGAGGCAGCTATAGAAGGTCTTAGTATGCCAGTAAATGTAGTGAACAGTTCGTATGGAGAATCTCGATAGAATACTGATTACTTAGTTTTAATTGTGGTCTCTACGCCTTGCAATAGACAAAGGTTATGCAGGCGCGATGAAAGTATAATCGGGATTATAATTTTTTCGTGAATCGTTACATTTACCTGTTTGAGAAGTGAGTGGTATATGAAGTGTTTGTCAAGGCGATCAACTCGGCAAAGCCTCTCACATGGGAAGTGCTAAATCTTTAAGATGAGTATGTGAAATTTCGCGACCAATATGAACAACTTTGCTCTGGCGCCGTTCGTAACAAAATACTATCGTAATTATATTGTATTGTTTCTTCTCTTTGCTGTTTTTCGCCTGTTTCATGTTATGTTACTGAATGCATGCAGCACTCATAACATACASAASCTACTAATATGCATATGTCTGTAAAATATTTAACATATATTCTATAAGTCGCTGTGTTGTTTACGTGTATATGTCACTTATACTTGTGCTTGCTAATATACATTTGCCAGTCTCTTAGTTAACATACTCACGTCATTGTTTCCACTTATTTAGCATCATTTGTTGAAATCGGCTGACGCGTCATCWGATGACGACGGTGGCTGGYTGTACTCGTCTGTCTTACCGCCACAAAGCGAAGAGGGCGCTGGCGCATGCGATGGTGTAGAAATCGACGAAAAAGGTAACATCTGCATCACAACCATAGTCATTGATGGCATGCAGTCGTCCGCTGTAACATCTAGCACAGCATTAACTACAACACCAACAGCGAACCGCGTCATTAATGACGACTCAGATAAAGAAAATAAGGAAGCACGCGCTGCCACACTAACCACCTTACCATTGACGAATGTTTGCGCACAATCTTGCGACATAAGCACGGTGCCGTCGTCACAAATTTGCACACAAATCGCACACGCCGAAATACAATTGACCCCAGTATCCACAACTTCGACAGCGGAAACGGCACTGTCTGCAGGTCGATTTAAAGTGAAAAACTTCGCTGCCAGTGGTAGCAGCAGCAGCTACAGCACCAGAAGTAGTAGCTGTTCGTCGAACGATCTACTCACCGAGACGACATCGGCCACTAATACAACGCAAATCACTCAAATGCATTTCCAGCGCGTGCATCGCACCGAAATGGAATTGCAAATCGACGCCAACGGTAATAAATCCAGGCATGTGACCGCCGATGTTGTGAGCAGCGCTGTGACMACCAATAATTCCCATAACAATAACAACAACGGTGATGTTGATAAGTGCAATGCAAACAACAACAACAACGCCACCAAGAGGGACGACAATGCAAATCATAAGGCTAATAATAATCAGAGTGTTGTATTGCACAAACCGCAGATGCCCCAACAAGCGCTTACTTCAAGTGGAAAKAATCAAAAGGTGAGTGGCGCTGTTGAAAACTTCGATTTGACTAAGACAGTAAAGGGTTCTACATATTTTAAATATTAGTTAAAACAACAACATACAAAATATACACTTATAATGAAACATAACTTTGTTTTGTCTCATTTCAGAGCGAAATGTCTTATTCCGTACGCTGGCACCCTAAAACTGTCATGGATCCAACCAATAAAACTGCAAAGCAATGTCAACAAATGCAGAAAATAGAAAGTAAGACAGTTCTTTTGCCTCCGCGTTCGCCATTTAAATCGGAAAAATCACTRCCGTCAACAGCACGAAGCGACAACTTCAGCCCACCTAATGTGACAAAGGTATATAAAATAACTGTTCATTTCTAACCTCTAACAATCATACCGTAAACATGTACAAAAGCAATTCTCCCWTTACGTATCGAAGAAGTGGCCCTTATGTTTTTATGTAGAACGAAGCAGATCGTTTATACTCGTTGAAATTTTTTGRCGAATACGATATCTTRMACTAAGCAATGTTGYACATATTTAAAAGTAACTCCTGGTGGGATCCACATTTGTATTTAACATCGATCAAATAAGCAGCATATAATTTGCACGAGAACTTTAATGATGAGTTTTTTGTATTTGCATGAAATGCGTCCATTCATAAGTAATACAAAGGTACAAACTTTATTGAATGGCCAGCGCAATGAGGATTTAGAAAGGGTGATCCATTTCGAGGTTACCTACTTTTTTTTAAAGAAAAAAAAAATACACAAAAACTTAAAATTTATTAAATTTATCGCGAATGTTTATTATCTTTCGACTGCTCATTCTTTGGCATTTATTTTTTGAAGATTATCTCTTTCAAATGTTCGCTGCAGCAACGTTTCAGTTAGTCCAATTTCGATGACTCTTTCGAGCATTTCGACTGCCAACCGCCGAATGACACACGCTTGTCCGTGCGGACTTTCGGCTTTACCAATCCCCACAGGAAAAAGTCTAACGTTATGATATCACACGATCTTGGTGGYCAACCGACTGCCCCAAAACGTGAAATTATCTGCTCACCGAAGTGTTCTTTTAATAAATCCATTGATTGATGCAATATGTGAGAAGTGGCGCCGTTTTGTTGAAACCAAATGTCGCCGAGATTACGAGATTCAATTCTAGACAACAAATAGTTATAATTATCATGGCGCGATAACGGTCGCCATTGACAGTTTCGTTCTCACCAGCACCMTTTACGAAGAAATGTGGGCCTGGACCGATGTTTCMACCGACCCACAAACTACACCAAACYATTATTTTTCGGGATGAAATGACAGTTCTTAAATCTYTTAATGTTGCTCTTCGTCCAAAATGCGACAATTTTGCTTGTTTACATACCCATTGACCYAGAARTGAGTCTCATYGCWGAACAAAATTTGACTCGAAAASGTCTGATCTTCTTGGACCTTTCMAGAGCTCATAGAGCGAAGCRATGTCGTTTGAGAAGGTCGAGCGGCTTAATTCTTCCACAAGCTGTACGCTTTCAATTTAAGAACTCGACGTAAAAGTCGCCAAGCTGTTCCATACGTTAGTCCAAGTTGCTGCGAACGGCGGCGAATCGACTCTCCAAAAAAAAAAAAAAAAGTATCTCTACTTGGGTCACCCGTTTGCACTCCCACACACTTCCGAGGTACGATACATTCACTTTACTACAGCCAGAGAAGCAAAAACATATTATTACTAATGTTTTAAAAACAATATATCCATGCCACATACATATATGTACTTACATATGAACCCACTAGATGCATATTATTGCAYTMTCSYAGGCACGCATTGCGTGAGGCGTCTAAGCTCTGTGCCAAYAGCCGCCAATGGACTTGACCAGCCTTGAAAACGTGCTTGCGCTCAGGTGCCAAGCCCACAACCACGCACGATAACAAGAAAGCCCACCGGGGGCTGAATATATAACATCTACATTTCATGTGCGTACGCATATATGTACCTATATGTCTAAATATGTGCATATTGAACTGTGTATATACATATGTTGCACTTGCCTGTGGCAGAGCTGATTTATATGAGACAGCTTTTCAACTAGCAACTTTGCACGTACCCTAGCGAAACATGAATTTGTTGAACTGAATTTGCATTGCGATTAGTTCCAACACAAAAGGAGCGAATGCGAATATGCATGAGTATATACTATATGGGTACATAGTCTTTGTGTATAGTTGGGTAAGTGAAATTATCTTGTTTTTTCTGGAAGTGCGATAATGATACGCCAGTGTTGAGTTTTAATCACAAGGTGAGATAAGCAAACTTTTAGGCTATGATGTTACCTTTGTTATCTGCTTGACGTCCATATATATGAAGGTACATATGGATGAGGTAGATACTCACAATTTAATTAAATTTKAAAAGTAACTTCGTAGAGACATAAGGGTTCTTCAAGGGGAATCAAGGTGTTACAGTTTTATTTACTGCTGGCGCAATGGCATTTGCTACCTACATACACACATATGTATGTTTATATAGTAATCAAAAAGTMTTTTCGTATTTCTAAAATTGAAACGTAAGAAAAGAATTGAAAAATAAGAAAAGAGTTTTCGACTACGCAATAAAATAGGTTGTCAAAAAAGTCTTGCGGTATTTTTTAATTTATTTTTATTTTATTTTATA